TATTGTAAGGACTGTAGAGAGTGAGAGGAGAGATGGATGAAGGCGACTGGAGAAGTAATCAAGGAACAAATAGGAGAAAGTGTGCGTGTATGGAAAAAGGAAAAAAGAAATGGGAATAGAAATAGAAGGTAACTTAATGATCACTAGGAAGATATCCTTTATAATGTTAGACTCTAGTGTATAAACAAACAAAAATGCACGTGTAAATTTTTTATGGAATATGTTTTGCTTTTGAGACAGAAAGTAAATACACAAATAACTGAACTGATAATTGATGATACATAAACTTAGCATTTTAAGAAATACTATCAAGATGCTTGCTTTCTACCCCATAGTCCATGATATTTTATCAAAACTTGCTTCAACCTAACTGTAATGCTAACAAAATGTCTTCCGTAGTTTCCTTCATCATCATAAACTAATACTTAAAGACCATATTTACCAGCAACCAACTGTAGAATAGAGGAAATGAGAATAATATTATTAATAATAGTGCAATGAATGTTATTACAATGAGAGAAAGACACTACAAGTATATACCTCCCCTTCCGAATCACAGGCAAAGCCAATGAGACTTTGTTTATGTAACAAAAGTGATTCAATTTGCACCTGTTGTCCAAACCATAAAAATACAAAACAAAACAGCCCAAAGAAAACAATGTGCTTCCTTTTTAACATTATTACTTTGTAAACACAGTCTACCAAACAGCAAAATGGCATCAAGCAAGCCAGCAAGAATTTTCTATCTTTATTTCTTTAGTATGTGTTTACTTTATCATTAGATATTAGCAAATTAAATGAGACTGTACAGATATTGAAGCAATACAGGTTTACTTGTCACCCATTATTACCTTATTAGGTAAGATATTTAGTTAGGCTTTGTTTATGTAACAAAAACGATAGAATCAGTTTCAATTTGTACCTGTTTACAAAAACACATAAAAGCTGTAAAGCAAAACAGCCAGCAAAATGTATAAATGAAACAATGCATTCCTTTCGTTACATTACTTTGTCCGCCAAACAGCAAAATGGCATCAAGCAAGCCAGCAAGAATGTTCCCTGTTCTTCTAGGTTGGTTTACTTAATTTCTTTTTAGTATGTGTTTACTTTATCATTAGATATTACCAAATTAAATGAGATTGTGCAGATATTGAAGCAATACAGGTTTCCTGAGGCAAAATGGTTTGAGTTTGGATTGAATCTTGGTCTCCTTTATGATACACTGGAAGCTATTGATGCTAATCATAGAGGAAATGC